TGTACGTTCGTGCCAATAAGATGCAACTCTGAGCATTCTGATAGCCTATAGTCGGAGTTTAGGGGCAAAAAATATTTTTGGAATTGGCATGAGCCTTATTGCTGAATTATTTCCCGTGTAGAAAATTATCATGATTTTGCGACATGATGTGATCATTTCCTAAGTTGTCCCATGAGTATGGCAGAAAAAGCTTTGTCCAATTCATGCGACTAAATGGTCAAAAACGGCAATAGGTTGATGCCTAATTTTTGCGGCTTTCAAAAAAATTTATTCAATAAGAACAATAACAATTCAACAAAAACACCTTTAGATAGTTGTTCTAAAGCGAATCCCTACCAAGTTTATGTATTTCCATTTTTTTGGTCAATATCACGAGCAGAAGTCATGGTTCTTGGATGATTGATCCAAATCGTCTAGATTTTGTTCGTCTGCCAGATTTTCAGCAAGTGAATAACGTAGTCTGTAGGCGCTTCGGCTGGTGAGTAGGATGTGGGAACAGAACTCCCCCCTATTTTCGATGGCTTCGATGAAGCGACGCTCAGCATGTGGGCACGCATTACCGTAGAAGAGGATTGGTTCTTTGTGCGCAGTCGCTTCGTCCCTACTGCTGTGTGAAGACGTTCGAGCCGCTGATGTTGAACTTGCCATTTTTTTGTACTTCGCCCCTGTTGACGCTCATCTTCGTCGTTCCACCAATAACAAACACCATGTGAAATGATTTTCTAGTGCTTGGTTCCGCTTCCGTCCTACCATAGGTATTACATTACCTTCTCGCAGTAACGTCATTCATTCCTTTGGGCGGAGCACCTGTGAAACAGCTCCTTTCTTTGGTCGTTTTTATAGAGCAATTACGATTTATCTGATAACTCTTTAGGAATGGCGGGCGCTTGTTTCTTTGCAGCAAGTCGGTAAGAATTCAGATCAGTTCGGTGTTATTGCTGTCGAAAAGTTCGTGAGGGACCCATCTAGCTAATTTCCAATTTTCAAGCTTTCTGAGGCGATGGAAGATCGTGGTGGTTTGAACCGAAGGTCATCCAGCATTCGTTTTGTCAAGTTTCGTCCTCTT